AACAGCAAAGTGGCATTGAAAATGCTTAAAATGAGTTACGAATATACTCTCATAATCATCTGTGCTTCATTAAGGTATGGGAGGAGTGCCCCGCACTGAACAAAGAAATATAAATGCTAGCTACTGAGACCAGCCTGTTTGCTTGCTTAATCAAGGGCTTACCAATGGTTGCTTTTTAACTTTTTTACAGTAGACTATTGTCTTTTAACTCATAGTCTTGTTCACTTTCTTCTGTTTATTTGATAAAACATGCCAAAGGTAATTTATTTTTGTTAGCATAAAACCACTGTGAAATTATTCAGTTTCACAGAAGGTGTCTGAAGACCTTTAGCTATCTAAGGTCATAGAGTGTTTTCCCTCTACAAATTGTATTTTTGTCATATTCCCATGCCTTGGGAATATAGCAGCTCATGCTGACCTTTGAGTAGGAAGATTGATTATATGTGGGCACAATGACTACAATGACTAGAATTTGGAGCAAACTGAATAAAACATGTGAAAAGATCCTTTCTGCAGCCAAAGAAATGCTGTCTAGAGCATAATACGAAACAAGGACATGTTGGTATGGTAGAATTTGACTTGCAGTTCTGCCTTGAATTGTTTTTGAAGACATCAAATCTTCCCGTAAAACTGACATCAATTTCAGTATTATACTCATGTTCTGAATTTTAAAGGCGAGAAATGATCAAATTCAAAACTTCTAAATGTATTATGTTTATGCAGCTGGTAAGCATCTTACTCTTTTTTTTTGTCTCAATGATGTAGATAGAAAGCAGTGAGAAAGCACTGGCATACTGAGCCCACATTTTATAACTCTTAATTTATAAGAAATAAAAAGAACTTCTTAGACACACCTTACTTTCCAAAAAGTGCCAATGATCATGTACAAATGAAGGATACACCTAAATGTGTGTCTGTTCTGGAAACTTCAACGCTAACATCTTTGTTCTGTAGCATCCCTGGGGATTCATTTCCTTCGCTCAGAGTCTCTGGCTTGCTGCATTTTATTCTTAAGGTCACTTTATTGACTACATATGGAGGCAAATTTTTCACTTACAATGTTTCCAAAAGATGGTGACATTTCAAGCATTTTGAGCATCCATTAGTGTTTTGTTTTCCTGCAGTACAGTACACATGATCAACTCATTCACAGATAGACTTGCCGATGGGTAAATAGCTAATTTCTAAGCAGTAGGGGCAGGAATGTATTCATTTTATGCAATCTTTCAAAACTTTCTTGCCAATAACTATTCAAGGTATAATACTGTTATAATGAGAAAACAAATTTTGCATACATCATGATCTAGGAGTATTAAAATTATGTGCATACATAAGGTGTATTTCATATACAGATATATACATATCATATTATTATATTTCTAGGCATTATTTATTATTTTTATTTGCTTGTCTATTTTGAATGCAATTTTTACATCTTTTATACTGAGTATTATTTTTAAAATTTAGTCAAACCAGCATTATTTTTAAAAATAAATAAAACCCTAGCTCTGGGGTCTGGGAGATAGCTCAGAGTGCTGGAACATCCATGTTTTACCCGGGACCCTGGGTTCAATACTCAGCTCTGCATTTTTCCCTGAACATGGCCAACAGTGGCTACTGAGCACTGGTGGATACGACCCCCCCAACAAATATATCTGCAGACTGAATTAAAAGCTCATTAAAGTCCTTTCACTGTTTCAGGAACCAAGACAACCCGACAGGTAAAGCTGTCATCAATGAGACTCATCCTACGTTTTTGCAATGACGTGTTGAGACAAACACTGAAATGTTTTATATCAATTTTTGTTCTAGAAGGAACAGACACAGACAAAGATATAGGTCAGTGTGTTTGTGAATAAGCACAAGATCACACCAGACAGGTTCACACAATTCAGACTGGTCCAGCTCTAGTTAATTTCCAGTCAAGACGAATATTCTGGAAGAAATTAATAGCTAGGAAGTTCAGTGATTAGAATTTAAAAAATGGCATCCTCATATTTCTCTTAAAAGCAGAGTATTAAGGGGCTGGAGCAATAGCACAGCAGGTAAGGTGTTTGCCTTGCACGCGGCTGACCCGGGTTCGATTCCCAGCATCCCATATGGTTCCTCAAGCACCGTCAGGAGTAATTCCTGAGTGCAGAACCAGGAGTAACCCCTGAGCATCGCTGGGTGTGACCCAAAAACAAACAAACAAAAAGCAGAGTATTAAATTTAACCTATGTGAAAAAGACTGTAGGCTTGCTTTGAAAATAAGTGAAAATATTAATTTTGAGGGCTTCCTGTAGAAATCAAAATATATGGCATAGTTCACTTAAATAATCAGAGCCTTCCTGTTAGTCCCTTGGTCAGTTCAACTCCCCAGGAAATGAATTCAAATAGACATTTGTGCAAACAAATATCTCAGAGAAGAATGGGAAATTCTCCTGGTAATGAGCAGATTTATCCTGTGTATTTTCAAGGAGACAGATTAATCTCATTAGTGAATCAAATAGACTGTGCACAAATATGCACTTGGTATATTTCTCCTTCAATTCTAGGTTGTTGGTTTCCAAAGAACAGTAGAATAATATGTAGGTCACATTGACCATTGAAATGACATTTGCTATAGTATTCATGTTTATATAATCAGGAAGTGACATTATTATCGACCTGCTAGTTTCAATGGATTAGCACCAAGTTTATTTTCTGTACTAGAAAAACAGGGTTATAATATCACAATAGTGCCTTTTTATTCTCAAAAACCAACACTTTTATGGAATTTTAATTATTTGTATTTTAATTATACACAACATAATTTTAATTATACAGATAACATAACTACCAGAAAAATAATTTCTTATCTATTATAGATTTCTCTAAAATCAAAAGATTTGAGTATTTTTAAACTCCTGATATTTTATATATCCACATACTTCTCTCTCTGTATATATAAAATCAAAGGTAAAGAGTAAATTTATGACAAAATATGAAGATATTTTAAATTTTGGGCTTGTGGGCATACATGGCACCCCGAGATAACATTTCTAAATCCCCAAATAAATTGAAATATCCTAACACTTTAGATTCCTCAACTAATCTTAGAAACTAAAATCAAAAGTAAATACTCCTGGTTTTCTAATTTTTCAGGGGCTCCAATGTCTTGTTTGAGACATCCAAACAAGGTAAAACACTCTATAATCAGCCCATCCCCACAGAAACTTGACCTTTCATAACAGACCAGCTAATAAGTGGTAGTCGCTTCCATACCGTGTCTCACGATGTTGGGATTTGGAAATGTGTTCTAGGGTAACTTCGATGATTTCAGAGGATAAATTAAATGATTTCAGTGAAATAGTATGCAATGTCAAAAATATTCATTTTAATTCGGATTAAGATTCCAGTAAAGTCTAATAAACACTGTGACTACTACTGTATGTATTTCAGCTGTCACTACTGACTTTGTGAAATCTATAGAGAGAATTGATGAATCTAGCTATTTAAAATCATACTCAATAGTTTAGTATGAACCATGCAGTATATAAAATTATCACACTTTCTTTAACTCCACATAATGATAAAATTAACCTTGAACTAAAGATTTTCAAGGGCACTTTCAAAGAACTTGATGTTTTTTGCAGTATATAAAAAATTCAGAATGAAACTGATAGCCAAGACAGTGGAACTGAGGGCCAGGAGGACAAGTCCATTGTAGGAAGCTTGCCACAGGTGATCATGGGGGAGGGGATTTCAGTGAGGATAGAGAAGGGATCACTATGACAATGATAGTTGGAAATGATCATTTTGGGCAAAAACTGAACACTGAGAGTAGGTAAAGTGATATGCATGATGACATTTTAGTACCTGTATTGCAAACCATAATGCCTAAAAGGAAAGAGAGAGAGAGAAAGAGAGAGAGAAAGTGAGAGAGCGAGAGAGAAATACAGAAAGAGAGAGACAGACACAGACAGAGAGAGAGTGTGAGACAGAGGTTTCTGCCATAGAGGCAGGGTGGAGAGGGGTAGCAGGAGGGAAACTGGAAATGTTGGTGGTAGGGATGCAGGGGTGAAGGGATGAATGTTGGAACTTTGTATGACTAAAACCCAATCATGAACAAGTTTGAAACTGTGTATCTCAAGGTGATTAATTTTTTAAAAAAGGATTCAATGTTAGAATTAAATGGTATGGAATATAATGTAAATAATTTTAAAAAATTACAATTTACCCTATACCACATTATTACATACCTTTTCCTTTAAAAGGCTCATTTCTTTAGTTTAGTAAATACTGTTAGTTCAAGAGTGATATCTCTGAACTAGACCCAACTAATGTCTTTGAAGACATCCAAGAGTTTCTTATATAATGTCCAATGACCCAGAAGCTTCTATATGTTGCTAAAAGCAAAAATCCTATGTATTTTCAATACACTTCATGCTGTATAGGACAACAGACACCAAGAATTACTACTTTAAATAAACAGAACAGAGAAAGGATGCTTTCTTAAGTCACCTGCTTAAATGGCAACTTAACATAACACTATAAATGCATTAAAACAATAATTCCTCCTACCTTACCGAAGGCAGAGAAGCATGACTAAAGAGAGGCAAGATACGGATTTCATTCTTGCTTTCTTTTTCTTGAACCTTAAATATAGTTAACGAACACACCATGCAAATGCCCAAGATTTGAGTAGATTAGATTGGGTCATTAGATTTCAAAAGCACCCGGTGATTATTGCTGATAATTATGTTTGAACTAGTTTTCAGTATATATAAAAGTTACAATTTTAAATAAATAGAAAAATCTAATGGGACTGAATTACACTAATAAATTATACTTTCAAAGCTAAAGTGCAACAATGACCATTTTCTTATGAATTATTCATTATATAAAATGAGCAATACACGGTAATGTTGGAGACTGGAAATGAAATACCTGAAAAAGCTCAATAATTAAAAAAATTAATTATCAGTTTGAATGATACATTTTTTTATAGGTTTAGTAACAGAAGTTGGCATACATACCCTGTTCTAATACTTCTTCCTCTCGTTTCGGTTGCTGGAGTAAAGAAGTCTTGTCTTTTTTTTCAGTTTCTGGAAAGGATCAAGGTTTGGAATATAAATTTAAAGTCTATATTACTTTATTTAAATATATTAAAGTCAACATTACATTCTTTAAATTTTCTTTACTGAAAATATTCCAGCAACCCATAAATACTATTCAGGATTCTTATCATAAAAACAACAGTATTAAGTATTTTCCCTAAACAACCCAAGCATTCAAGAAAAAAAAGTTAATAAACTATGGTACATATCTACAGTGGAATACTACTCAGCTATTAAAAAGTGAAATCATGTGATTTGCTGCTATGTGGGAGGGTTTGGAGAGTACTGTGCTGAGAGAAGGAGTTGGGAGAGGGAGACACAGAGTGTCTCTCTCATTGGTGGGATGTAAAGAAACTTCCTGGGAATAACGAATGCCCAAAGGCAGCAGAGTCAGAGACCTGGTTTTCAGCAGGAAGCTTAAGGGGTCATGGAGGCATAAGGGATGAGGATGGGGGTGGGAGACACTGGGGCACTCTGGTGGAGGGTGTGATGCCGGAATGTTCTGTGAATGAAATCCTGAAACTAGCAATAGTCTAAAGCACATTACCTAAGGAATTGAAAAAAATTAAAAAAAGAATCTTCCCCTCTCCCCTGCTGCATCCCCTTAAGAATTTACGCATCAGAGTGACCAGAGAGCGACTACAGGTGGCCAGGCATGTGCTTTGCTTACAGCTGCTCTGGCCATGATCCTGATCCGATCTCGAGTTCTGTCAGAGGCCTCTTCTGAGCAGAGCCAGAACAGCCCCCGAGGACCCCGAAGTGGGCATTATCCCCGCCCCCCTAATCCTATTTAATCCCAGGGGGGTTTGGAGAATACTGATTGGACCAAAGAAGACAGGGGGTAGTGTTAGAGGGGTGTGTGATAGTTTTGTGCATCAATACCAGAAACTTTAGCACTAATGTAGCCATCGAACCCAAACTGTTTCTATGGAAAAGTACAGGACTGAAGCAGGTCCTGATGCTTTCCACTCTATACCCATCGATAAATTAATGGATCAATCCATGACTCATGACTACTATGAAAAGTTAGCACACTTCTATAGTTTTTATCTCACTGCCACTGATAATTAAACTGATAACTCAGTATGGAAGAAAATAATTTAACACTTAAAATCAGAGAAAACCAAAGCATTTCTAACTTTGAATATAAAAAAATATGATAGAAATACTCCATTGCTAAAAAATACCTCAGCATAAATACTGGCTACTAAACTTACGACTTAAGTAGATTATATACAGAATTTCATAATATACTAATATAAAGAATTTTATATACAGAATTTTATAATATACTAACAACTCATTTGTTTTTGAGTTTAGCATTCTTTTATGAATACTTTAAATATTTTATTTTCTAATCTATGATTCTTAAGGCACATTCCACAAACATATTAGGCCCTAAACAAATGAACTTGATTGCTATGTTAATTTCTTCTATAAAATTTTCACTAGGGAAAAATAAGGAGTTGCAATGACATTTAATTAATTAATTAATTTTTTGGGTGGGGAGGCATCCACACCCAGCTGTGCTCAGGGGTTACTCATGGCTTTGTGCTCAGGAATCACTTCTAGCAGGGCATGGGGACTATATGCAGTACCAAGGATCGAATCTGCATCCAGAGTACATGACAAAAACCTTACCTACAGTACCATCTCTCTGGTTCCACCATTTTAACTGAATTTACAAAACTCAGTAAAGAGTCAATATACTGCATTCAATAAAACAGGTTGTGGAATTTTCCATTTTAAACTAAAAAATATTACTCATCTAGTCATGTGACATGGAGCAAAATAGAAAGTTCAAAATCTCTATTACTTAACAATAAATTTTACCTTTGTGATGTCCATGCATCATAACCATATCAGATCTTATAGGAATTGGAATATTGGCCTCTGGTGGTATGGTCCTGAACATATCTGGAGCCGTGTTCTGTGTACAGGTCATGAAAGAAACAGCATGCTTGGCTTCCATGTAATACATAATATATAAGTTGCACATTTCATCACTAGATGTGCCGCTGTAGGCAAAAGATAAATAAATAAAATAAGGAGACACAACAAATCATTCACATACAACTTATTCTTAACGCAAGAAAAATGCAACCAGTAAATCTGCCAGCAATTCAAAGGTGGAATGTGCCTTTATTTTACAGCTTTCATTTAAACCACCACAGTTTTCAACATGAAAAGCATATTGTCAATGTTTGATTTCCACTAATAACAGAGCTTGTAGTTACTCCATGGATAGCAACAGACACTGCAAAGGGAAATGGTATTTAAATGGAAGCAAGCCTCAATTTCCCCTCTCCTCAATCCTTGTTTGCTTTTGTCTGTCATCCACTTACTGAAACCCATATATGTGGCTAAATGGTGCCTTAGAAAGTACTTTTCTCCCAGAAAATCTTAATTATGTGACTGATAACAATAAGATTTTGAGCACTTTAGTAAAATTAATATATTATTTACAAGTCTTTAAAAATTACTTTTCTCCCCATTTAGTCCTGAAAGCATGGGCTCTTTGAGTTACTGTTCTTCATCTGGAGAGTCTGATAAAGCAGGAACAATGTGCTGATATGGAGTCTCCAAATGCATTTCTGCTATCTGACTTGGTAAACTGGCTCCACAGCAGGCTAGACGAATGCCTCTAGGACATCAAATGAAATCAGTGTCTTTCAAGAGCTCAGACCCCAGTGGGGCTGCACGGCCTAACTAAACGGCTCTTTGTGAAAAACAAGACTTTAAAACAAGATAATCTTTTCCAAGAAAAAAAACCTCCAAATAATGTAAATTGATCCCTAATAGTTTATAATACACATTTTCAAATTCCTTAATGCACATGTGTTAGTACATATGGCATCCTCTTTTCTACTTAGGTAACCATTCACCAAATTTTAGATACCAAAGTATTTTGGGCAAAGGAGCATGTACTTTTGGCGTAAATGAATAAAAGCAAGCTCTGAAATGGACAATTTGCTATACAGAAATATTTCAGTGTTGATTTTTCCAACAGTCATGCAGCACTTCCTTGCTCTCCATAGCAACAGTAATGACATCAGCAAGGGAAGGAAAAAATTAAACATCTCTTAGAGATGCAGTTTCTCTAAGCTCTGAAAATGGAGGGCTCCCGAGAGATGGCACGAATGAGCACCTGCCAGGGGAAGTTGTGTTTGTGCTTCATAATCACTTGATTTCTCACCCGCTGGTGCTGATACCAGTCAGTGTAATTGCCTTTTCCAATGATACATAAGCAAATAGTGAAGTGAAATCCCAAACAAACATCTTCATGTCTCAAAATGCCATTCCTAATAATCATATTTTAACAGCTTTGGAGCTGGTCAGAATATTAGGTGTGATAAAGGGAATGAAAGACACCATAGTAATAAGCCAGGATATTTTACCGTTTACTTTTCCCTGCCCCTTGTTCAAATGAGGAAAGATGGGGTCAGAGAGCGCTCAATGGCTGCAGCACATGCTTCGCATGCTGGAGGACCAGGTTTGATGCCTGGCACCCCATGATCTCCCACATCACCACAAGTGATCTCCAAGCACCGAGTCAGGGTAGCCCCTTAAGCAACTTAGGGCATGGTCCAAAAACCCAAACAAAATAAGAAATCAGAAAACAAAATGAGGAAATATATGCATATCGTTAAAAAGATGAAAGAAAAGATTAAGGAAACCTGGAATCAGACTTGCACAGAGTGGGAAAACAAAACACTCCTTTGACTCATGAAGGAAAATCATTTAATACTTTCATGATTAATGGAACTCTCTGCTAAGCTGGAGAGAAATCCTCCTATATTTCCACTATTTAGTAATATCAGGCCCATGTTTAGCTTGAAATACAAGACATTTTGTGAAACAGCTTTAATCACTCCCCAATACTGTTGATTTGGTGTACTAATATATGAATACAAAACTCAGTGAATGAATAATTTACAGACTGTCGCTACCACAAGAGTGCTGAAGAAAAAGAGGACCCATACTTTACTCCTTTCCATCTTAGGAAACTTGCAGACCCAGTCTTTCTGAGCTTTAATATGACAAACTATCACATCCTAGATAAGTTAGGGCTCAAATAATTCTTTTGTCAGGCTAATAGTTTGTGTATTCTGTTTTACTTTCATGAAGATATAGGAGGAAGAGGAGGGAGAAGAAGAAGGAGGTGGAGAAAAAGAGGAGGAGGAGGAAAAGGTGGGGAGAGGAGTCGGGGGAGGAGGAGGAAACACAGGGGAAGGAGATGAACTGACCCTGGTATTGGCTTTGGAGTAAAAATGGCCTTCAACTGTGTTATTAGTAGCGTAACAGATTTGTGAATCATGGTGTCTAAATGGAAGAGAAAGGAAGAGAGAGAGAGGAGTTGGGGAGAGAAAGAAAGAGAGAGTTGACTTTTTCCCTGGGATAACGTTGGCACGACTTCCAGGGCACATGCCACCAGTCAGGAGGCTCCCAGTTCACTACCTTACAGAGTGCATGCATGTCTGGACGAGGGGTCCTTGGCACTGCAATGGTACTGCTGCAGGACTCATGTCAATGAGGAGTCCTGCAGCACCTCTGTATGAGCGGCACTGAATCACCTGCTCTTAACTTTGCCACATTCTATTCACACATGATTGAAGATATCTCTGCACATTCATTACACATTCACATTTGTATGTGAAATTAACTGGTATACCGAAAAAAAAAATAATACTGGCCAGCAAAATTTACCAAGCTAAACATTAGCTAAATATTCTCAAGAATTAATTTTAAACTTTAGCGTGTAAACTTATATGGAAATCATCTAACTTCATTAGCTTAATTGACTAATTCAATTAAATTCCTTTTGGTTTAATCGTGACTAAACATTGAAAATGAATTTAGAAAACTGTCATGATGAATGCACAATATATAAGGCAGTCAAGCACAAAATAATGCTTCTTTATCAATTCATCAGCACTATAATGCCAGTATAATTGGTGCAAATTTGCTATACACATTATACATTTTACTATTTTAAAATAAATATATTTGGGTTAAAATATTATCTCCTAAGTATATTTATTAAAATATTTTATTTTAAATCCATTCATCCTTAAATGATTATATATGCACATATCTATGCATGTGTATATATAATTCATTTTATGTTTATACATATACATATATACATGTACATGTATATATATATATGTTTTGGAACCATGCTTGGCAATGCTGAAGGATCACTCCTGGCTCTGTGCTCATAAATTACTTCTAGCAGAGCTTGGGGCACCATATGAAATGCTGGGAATCAAACGAGTCAGCCTCATGCAAGGCAAGTGATCTACCCACTGCACTATCTCTCTGGCCCCCTTAATGGCTAAACTTAATGGCTATGATTTTAAGTTATTCTGGGAATGAAATCCAGATCTCATGCATGCAAGGCCAGGGTTCTCTTGAACCACATTCCTCGCCCTAAAAATTACTCTTTGAAATGAAAATCTGGTAAGGAAAAACAAGTCTCTATTTTTTAAAGTGCTTTTTCACTATTTAACTATGCTTGTATGACCTAAGCAAAAGTTTCTCCCTACAATTCTCTAAAATTGCTTAACCAGAAATCTTCCTAGTGGGTTACTGTTAACACAATTTTCCTATAAAACCTAGTCTGCCTCATAGCATGGTTAAAAGTGCAAAGCAACTAGTTCTTCCTGTGCATAAGATGTCTTATGATCCCATAAGATGTTTGGAGAAGTGAAGCTTTTGTCAATATCAGCCCCAGGACTAAGCCTATTTCCAGCAGGATATGTGTTTGAGCATAGGGAAGAGTAGTGGGCGGGGAGAAGAGGGAGAGGAGGGGTAGTAAAATATTCCTTAAGTCAGCAGACACTGGAGTTTTGTTCTGGTTTTTACTAGTTACAGTCTCAACTGTGATTGTACGGTACCCTTTGAAAACAATCCATTGTTCTAAAGAATAGAGATATATTGATACTATCGTTCTAAAACTAAAAAGCCTATTAGGTGCTATAAGAATGTTTGGCATAATCATGAGGATTTGTGTTCATATTTAAATTTATAACAAGTTATCTTCTTAGCATATCATTTCATTGGGGAAAAAGTTGCTTCTTGAGTAGAAATTAAATATTCAGAAGGTAAACTCATCCAAGAACTTGATTTCCTTTTAACTTCTATTTTGTTCATATTGTAAATGGCATTTCCTTAACCCATGTGGGATTTCCCAACAGAGATTAAAAGGGTCACTTTAGAATATTATTTGAAAACAAAATGCACATTTTAAAAAAAGATTAGAGTTATTCTGGCTGCGCGAAACTGCAGGAGGCCTCTAGAGATAAGTCTGATCTCCCATCTTTGTGCTCTCCCAGCCATTAATTTTTTTGGTACCTGTTGCCCCCAGGATACACAAAGGACAGGATTGGGTCCAAGTTACAGGTCCTCCCAACTGTAAAGAGACCTCTAATGAAAACAATTCTACCCAATCCACACTTTAACTTGTAAACTAACACATACTATAGGTTGTAGCACGGCACTATAGCACTGCTCCCCCGTTGTTCATCGATTTGCTCGAGTGGCACCAGAAATGTCTCCTCTGTGAGACTTGCTGTTACTGTTTTTGGCATATTGAATATGCCAAGGGGAGCTTGCCAGGCTTTGCCGTGTGGGTGGGATACTCTCGGTAGCTTGCTGGACTCTCCAAGAGGAACAGAGGAATCAAACCCAGTTCAGCTGCATGTAAGGCAAATACCCTACCCGCTGTGCTATCAGGGTCTTTAAACTACTCAGTTTACCCATTTCAAAGATTTTTAACAAAGAACCAAAGGCATTTATGTAAAATTTCAGGGTACTATTCAAACATGAAATGGAGGTCAACTGATCAGTACAACCCCAATCTTATCACTTCATGTATTTAAAGATTATTAAGAAATGAATGATCAGAGTCTTCTTCAAATTGAATTATGTTTACTTTGTCAATCCCTTTGTGTCATTTCATGTAACTCTAATTTTATTGCTTTGCTCAAGACTCTTCCTCAAATTTACCCAAATGAATCCAAAACCAAAGCTGCTGGAATTCGCTACTTAAAATATAAGATATATTGATATTCTTCAATTCATTCTATATTTAGCCTTAAAATTGATGGTTACAAATATAAACACCTTTTTTTTTATTTATTGAATCACTGTGGGAAAGGTTACAAAGCTTTCAGGTTTATGTCTCAGTCATGCAAATATCAAACACATTTCCCTTTACCAATACTTATTTTTTCCCATGAAGAACCCCAATAAAACCCCACCCCCCACCCCTCCCCGTCCCTGTGAGGCAGATGAATTCTAGTTAACACTCTATCCGCTTTGATTAGATTGTTTCAATAAAAGATTCACCACTATTATTTAGAGTTTACCCCCCCCCCCCCCAAATCAGACATGCTGAAAAAGCATTGTGAAGTGATTTGCTTTCTACAGCTGGGTTCAAGAATTAAATGTTGGTTTTGGATTTCTGCTATTTTACCTATTGACCCTGGAAGTATTTCTACTGAAAGTCAGATAGTTAAGAAATTGGTTTCTGTGTTCTGGAGTCGTGGCCATGCTGGAGAGCCGCTCGTGGGGGGCAACTGGTGGCCTCGGTAGGGCGTGAAGGGCGGAGTGAAACGCCCCCCTTCCCATGAGGTTTTAGTCGCCCCCACACTCCCGGCTCATACCTGCTGTCCACAAGGCTCCCATGTGGCCGCCATCTTTCTTTCCAGAGAGGAGAGGGCGAATGGGGCAACACCCTTTCCCCTCCGGCAGACCTGATGGGCTGGATCAACGCATAGTCCGTTCACTTTTCTGCTCCAAGCTGCTGGGTTCTGCATTAAGTCCTTGTGCTTCTGGGGCCATGGCCGTGCTGGAGAGCCGCTCGCGGGGGGCGACTTGTGACCTTGGTAGGGCGTGAAGGACGGACCGGAACGCCCCCCGACCCATGAGGTTTTAGTCGCCCCCACTCCCCCGGCTCATACCTGCTGTCCACAAGGCTCCCATGTGGCCGCCATCTTTCTTTCCAGAGAGGAGAGGGCGAATGGGGCAACACCCTTTCCCCTCCAGCAGACTTGATGGCCTGGATCAATGCATAGTCCATTCACTTTTCTGCTCCAAGCTGCTGGGTTCTGCATTAAGTCCTTGTGCTTCTGGGGCCGTGGCTGTGCTGGAGAGCCGCTCGTGGGGGGCAACTGGTGACCTCGGTAGGGCGTGAAGGACGGACCGGAACGCCCCCCTTCCCATGAGGTTTTAGTCGCCCCCACATCCCCGGCTCATACCTGCTGTCCACAAGGCTCCCATGTGGCCGCCATCTTTCTTTCCAGAGGGAGGAGGGCGGAAGGGAGCAACACCCTTTCCCCTCTGGGCAGAAATGATTGCCTGGATTAACGCATAGTCCTTTCACTTTTCTGCTCCAAGCTGCTGGGTTCTGCATTAAGCCCTTGTGCTTCTGGGGCTGTGGCCGTGCTGGAGAGCCGCTCGTGGGGGGCAACTGGTGACCTCGGTAGGGCGTGAAGGACGGACCGGAACGCCCCCCTTCCCATGAGGTTTTAGTCGCCCCCACACTCCCGGCTCATACCTGCTGTCCACAAGGCTCCCATGTGGCCGCCATCTTTCTTTCCAGAGAGGAGAGGGCGAATGGGGCAACACCCTTTCCCCTCCGGCAGACTTGATGGCCTGGGTCAATGCATAGTCCGTTCACTTTTCTGCTCCAAGCTGCTGGGTTCTGCATTAAGTCCTTGTGCTTCTGGGGCCGTGGCTGTGCTGGAGAGCCGCTCGTGGGGGGTGACTGGTGACCTCGGTAGGGCGTGAAGGACGGACCGGAACGCCCCCCTTCCCATGAGGTTTTAGTCGCCCCCACACCCCCGGCTCATACCTGCTGTCCACAAGGCTCCCATGTGGCCGCCATCTTTCTTTCCAGAGGGAGGAGGGCGGAAGGGAGCAACACCCTTTCCCCTCTGGGCAGAAATGATTGCCTGGATTAACGCATAGTCCTTTCACTTTTCTGCTCCAAGCTGCTGGGTTCTGCATTAAGCCCTTGTGCTTCTGGGGCTGTGGCCGTGCTGGAGAGCCGCTCGTGGGGGGCAACTGGTGACCTCGGTAGGGCGTGAAGGACGGACCGGAACGCCCCCCTTCCCATGAGGTTTTAGTCGCCCCCACACCCCCGGCTCATACCTGCTGTCCACAAGGCTCCCATGCGGCCGCCATCCTTCTTTCCAGAGAAGAGAGGGCGAATGGGGCAACACCCTTTCCCCTCCGGCAGACTTGATGGCCTGGATTAACGCATAGTCCTTTCACTTTTCTGCTCTAAACTGCTGGGTTCTGCATTAAGTCCTTGTGTTTCTGGGGCTGTGGCCGTGCTCCAAACTTAACTCTGACTTTCAGGGAGAAAGATTGGGTGGTTTACTTCTCATTGATCACTTTGTATATAGAGAGATGTCGCGCGGCCGCTTATGCGGCCGCACGGTTTTGAGAAAAAGTCCTCGTTCCCGCATACTCGAGCTGTGTTTGTAGAGGCTTCTGGTCACTGGGGTTCCATCTGGGGGAGGCGGGATGCGGCACCTACTCCATCTGGAACTTGCGGGTAAACTCAGCTCTTTTTGGAACCTGTTTTTTCTTTTTTTTTTTCCTCCGGGATCCCGCACCCTCCATGTGTTCTTTCTCTTATGCTTAAGGCTTCAAAGATGGCGCTGGGGGGCGGGCTGTGGGCGTGACTTCCGGAATCAGAGGTTACCTGGGAGGTGTAGTCCGGCAGATTTGAGAAAAAGTCCTCGTTCCCGCATACTCGAGCTGTGTTTGTAGAGGCTTCTGGTCACCGGGGTTCCATCTGGGGGAGGCGGGATGCGGCACCTACTCCATCTGGAACTTGCGGGTGAACTCGGCTCTTTTTGGAATCTGTTTTTTCTTTTTTTTTTTCCTCCGGGATCCCACACCCTCCATGTGTTCTTTCTCTTATCTAAACACCTTTATGCCACTTTTTCTGCCTGTTTTTTCCCCCATCTGCATCAACACTTTTACCTTTCCCTGGCAACCAACACTAGAACTGTCTTCATGAGACACATCTTTGGGGATGGAGAGAGTATAACAGGTAACAGGTTGGGTGCTTGTTCTACATGGGGAAGGCCTGTCTTCAATCCTCAGCACCCCATATGGTCCCCTGATCATTGCTAGTAGTGATTCCTGAGCACGAAGCCAAGATTAAGCCCTGAACACAACTAAGTATGGTCCAGAAACAAAACCAAAAAGAAAAAAATTCATCCTCTTAAACTGAGTTTATTATCTTTGTTATCACTAATTGCTTACTGTGTCATGAGTGCACATATAGTTTTATTTTATTTTTTTATTTTTAAATTTTTTAAAAAATTTTTAATAGTGAGACATCATGAAGTACCGTTGCAGACAGACTCATCTTTGGTTCTTTTCTAACAAAAATACAACTGGAGACTTTCTCTTTCATTTTGTATGTTGGCAGGTCAACTTTTTGCAAGAGTTTCTGATGCTTTGAAAATTTTACTTAGAACTATAATGTACACTTATGTCAAAGCATCTCAAAATATTCTGAACATTATTTAAAAGTCTACATTCTCTTTGGCATGTATTGTATATTATTATTCTCATTTGATAGATTCAAGTACTGGAAAACCCCAAACACATATAAATTTTAACTCAAAAATATCATAATAGAGTTATTTAGGACACCACAAATGCAAATATTTGCCTAAAATTTAATAAAAGACAAAGGAACACTTGAGGAAAATATTCATATTCACTCTTTTTTTATGAAGATGAATGGGAAAAAATACCATCCATTATTATGGCAATTATGTGGTGTAAGCTGTGACACTGAAGTAATCAATAAAGAACAAAGGGAGAATGAAGAAATAAGCACCTGGCCTGCAGCTTATTCAACTCTATCTCAGGTGATGAAACACTATAATTTATCACAATTGTTCATGACAGAGGAAAAAATGAAGTTTACTTACGAAGACAATTGTCAACTTTAACTGTTCCAATAAAATCTTAATAGTGGAATTTGTGAAATCATACCCAATATGTGTGACTTCTGTCCTTCCTTCACCCGTGAAGACACATCTTGCTGCCAGTATGTCCCCAAAATTAACATCTACTGGGTGTTCTGCAGGGTAGAAGGCCTGCAATAAGACAAATGGTGTGCATCATCAAAATGATGGAGAAAACTCTCTGAGCAATCTATGTAACAAGGATAAAGGCATATATGTAAACACACACAAACACACACGCAGAGCATACATTGCAACATACATCCCTACTTTGTTTGGAAATCTTAAGGCCTACATAAAGAGGATAAAGACATACCATACAAGTATCACACAGAGGAAATTCAGACTCACACACTCCTACTATCTTCAGAAAGATTCAGAGTATTAAAAAAGAAACAATCAATCTGAAGTTTTACAAAAAGTAGGCCACACACAATTTAGCATATGCCAATTCAGAAACCGTTAAAGTCTTGCAATATCTGCAAGGATTCTTAAAATTAATATCAACCTGGCTGGAGCGATAGCACAGCAGGTAGGGTGTTTGCCTTGCACGCAGCCAACCTGGGTTCAAGTCCTCCACCCCTCTTGGAGAGCCCGGCAAGCTACCGAGAGTATCCCTCCTGCACAGCAGAGCCTGGCAAGCTTCCTGTGGAGTATTCGATATGCCAAAAACAGTAACAACAAGTCTCACAATGGAGACGTTACTGGTGCCTGCTCGAGTAAATTGATGAATAACAGAGGACAGTATCAACCTGTTAATACATTTTTTTCAATATCAACAACTTTTATTTTCTTTTTAATTTTTATTAGTGAAACACCATGTAGTACAGTTGTAGACTTACAAATTTTTGTGCTTGGGTTTCAGTTATACAATGATCGAGTACACATCCCTCCACCAGTACCCACTCTCCACCACCATCAGTCCAAGTATCCCTCCCACCCCCCCATCCCCCCATCCCACCTTGCCTCTGTGGCAGGGCACTCCCTTTTGTTCTCTCTCTCCTTTTGGGTGCTGTGGTTTGCAAAAGAGGCATTGAGTGGCAATCATGTTCGGTCTATAGTCTACTTTCAGGATGCACATCCCATCCTGGGAGGATCCTCAAACACTATTTGGTGTCCCCTTCTTTGTCTGAGCTGCCTTTTCCCCTAGCATGTGCGGCTGGCCTCCAAGCTATGGAGTGAACCTCCTGGTACTTATATTGGCTATTCTTGGGTGTTAGTCTCCTATTTTGTTACTTTATGTTCCCCAGATGAATGCAATCTTTCTATGTCTATCCCTCTCTTTCTGACTCATTTCGCTTAGCATGATACTTTCCATGTAGCACCACTTGTATGTAAATTTCATGACTTCATCTTTTCTAACAGCTACATAGTACTCCATTGTGTAGATGTACCAAAGTTTCTTTAACCAGTCATCTGTTCTCGGACACTCAGGTTTTTTCCAGATTCTGGCTATTGTAAAGAGTGCTGCAATGAACAAACAAGTGCAGATCTCACTTTGACTATACTTTTTTGCCTCTCTGGGATATATTCCCAGCTATTAATACATTTTACCTTTCAAAATTAAGTTCTCCATACCTGTGGCAGCTGGGGGCTCTGGCGTCCAATCAGTATCCACTGTCCATTTCTAACCCTATAGCCACTGACCACTTTACCTATAGAAAAACAAATTATAATCATATAGTTGAATAATAAGGTATTCAAAATCAGAGGCATTATTTGAGTTTCTAGTTCAAAATAAAATCTGAGTATTTTTCAGAACCCCAAATGTTGGGTCAGTGAATGGTTAACAGTCTGATGAAACAACATAAGATTTCAACTTCTTGTACAAAATGTACAAAATTATTTCTATTAAAGTCATCTTCAGGTCAAAACTAGTTGCTATTTTGCCATTATGGCATCATGTAGTAAATATTTATAATTGAATGTTGTAGCTTACGGTTCTTACCTAAACGGTGAGTATGAACTCGGTAGGCAAAGACATGCATTGGATACTTATTGTAATGGCAGGAAATGTCAGAATTCACCACTGTTTATAAGAGAAGAAAGAAAAGTCACTGGTCAGTTTTTAAAGAAGAAGATTCTTACCTAAAGAACAAGATTCTCACAGCAATTCAGAAGCTGTGAGGCCTGAGGGATCTCTTATGAAGTGAGCATGCACACAGGCATGAGTACCCAGCAGATGGTAGTACTTTTAGGTGCCAGCCACTTCTCCAAGGAAACCTAAAAACTGTGTTCCTTCTCATTTTTTCATTTCATTCATAAACACATGAGGGCTTTTAGTCAAAATACACCATCACTGTCAATAATGCCTTTCTTTGGTACCTTTATGGTGAAATGCATGCAGTTGAAAGCGCTTACAACATAGTTTTGATTTTTAGAAGAAAAGGCCTTTTGAAAATGGATGGCAAACATCTAAACTTACTCCATTAAAAGTTTCTGTAGATCCTGGAATATTGCACATGCTTTCGTCCCTTATAGTGTAAAGCATAGCAGTAACTCATTAAGTCTTTTATAAACAAATGGAAGCAAGTGACAGACCATACTGATCATTAACTTGTAAAAAACAAATGAGCAATATCAAATATTGCTCCAGATCAGATACATTTATAAACAATATCATATCTATGCCAGTATTTTGGGGGGCTCGTGGGGGGCACACCTGGTGACCAGGTGATGACCAGGTCATCTGGGTTGGGGTTCTGCGTAACGCCTCGGTAAGTGCTGGGTGAGGGTGGGGGTAGCAGGTAGATCAAAACTGGGACGCTTGCATGCAGGCAAAGCAAAGGCTCATCAAATTGAGTGATCTCTCTAGCTCCAAGCTCCAGTAACTTTTTTTTTAAAGTTTAGGCAAATAGCTTTTACTAGCCCCATTATCTATTTGTCCTTTTAGGGACTGCATTGAAGATGCACAGGGCTTACTCCTGGCTCTGTGCTCAGGGATCACTCCTGGCCAGGCTCAGGGAACTATGTGGTCCTCGAGAATGAAACTTGGGTTGAGGCATGCCAGGAAAGTGCTGTACCCTCTGTATTACCATTGGTGTGAACTAAGTTCAATATAACAGGGTTCAAAGACTGAGAAGGTACTAAGTTTTCTTGCTTCTGAACTAGGAATCTAAACTTCTCGATTATAGTTTATGCCACAATATTTTTTGTCATTTGTGTTTGGCCTCTAAAGAATGAATTATTTGAATAATATTAGCGATGGATATTTTTAAATTTCTCTAACCCAATACCTAACCATGAACCTCAATACTTAGCATCTCAAGAAAAAAATGAAAATGAATTAACCAATGGCTTGGAGCTGTATAATCTATTTTAAATGCAAGGATAATAAAGAATTGGTTTATTTTTTCAGAGAATCAAAATAATGCTATTTTAAAAGTATATTAAAGATACTGCTATTGGGGCTGGAGAGATAATACAGTGGATAGGGCACTTGCTTTGCATTCAGCTGACCTAGGTTCAATCCCTGGCATCTATATGGTCCCTTAAGCCCTCCAAGAGTAATTCCTGAGCGCAGAGCTAGGAGTAACTCCTGAGCATCTGGGTATAGGGTCCTAAACAACAAACTACACACACATGCATATGTATATGTTTGTTGTATATATATATAAAACATATGCATATATATGTATATAATACATATTGGTGGTGGGAAATTGCACTGGTGAAGAGATTGGTATTAGAATATTGTATGACCAAAATGCAATTATGAACAACTTTGTAATTACATCTCATGATAATTCAATTAAAAATTTTTAAAAAAGAAATTACTGGTAAATACCTCCAACCATCCCTTACCTTTCTCTCCTGGTGGTATTACAGTGTCAACAGACATCATAAGGTACATGCCAGCGATTAATGGCTGTCTGCAGAAAACAGTAATCAGTAATATTTATCTCATCTATGTAAGACATCCAAATGATTATTCTCAAGAAACTATAAATTACTACTCTTCCTTAGATGTGATGACTTGTTTGGAAGTTTAAACAAAACATGGAATAAAAGGTAGAGTATTTAACTTTTTCTTTAAAATAAGTCATCTTCTCAGGGAAATGGCTGAGCACTTGTTCATTTAGCATGACTACTGTCTACACATGGTGTGCTGATTAATTAGATTTGCCAACTAAGGTAGACTACAGTTTCCCAGTTATCTAGTCAAACTAGTGCAGAAGGTGTTCTGATGGTCCTTCTAGATTGAATTGACATCAACATTTTTTTTTATTAGTGAAACACCATGAGGTACAGTTATAGACTTATAAACTTTTGTGCTTGGGTTTCAGTTATACAATGATCAAGTACCCATCCCTCCACCAGTGCCCATCCTCCACCACCACGGGTCCCAGCATCCCTCCCACCCCCATCCCCCCCGTCCCACCCTGCCTCTGTGGCAGGGCATTCCCCCTTGTTCTCTCTCTCTTCTTTTGGGTACTGTGTTTTGCAAGAGAGGCCTTGAGTGGCAATCATGTTTGGTCTATAGACTACTTTTAGCATCAACATTTTGATAACTGAGGGAAGCAGATCACTGTCCACATGAGGTAGGTTTTTGATGATGAAGGAATTCTGCCTCCAACTGCCTGCAACTTAGAACTGCAACACACCTGCTGGAATTAGTCTGCCAGCATGACCTGCAGATCAGAGACCTGCCAACCTGCACCAACTGAGCCAATTCTGTACACTTATTTCTATATTTCCTCTATCACTGAGTAGACTGAAAGAGAGGGAGACACAGAGAGATGAACTAATATATGGGTACATAACTCTGTCTCTATTAGTTGCTCTGTATAGTATAAGATTAGACTTAACAAAAACCGATACACACCAGCACTGCATCAGTTGTTTCTCCGAGAACTCTGCCATTAACTAGCTTTGATACCCATGCCCTTGTCTAATTGATTCTCTTCCCTTTGAGTTGGATTGGATGCAGTCATTTATTTCCAGCAAATAGGAGAGGGCAAAAGTAATGGTTTGCAACCCCTGGTATGGTGCTTCAGAGACTTCAGTTTTAATCTTACACACCTTCCCTGTTGCCTGCTGGTGTTGATGGGAACCAGCTCGTGTACCTCAAAGTGCCCTGGTAATAGCCCACAGGGCCAACCGTAAGTGGCCCCTGGTCCACAGTCAACAACGAAGAGAATTCTGCCCTTAGCCACATGATTGTCTGTGGAAACGGCTCCTTCCCGGTCAATCCTGCAGAATAGCAAACTCATAGCCAAGGTCTCTGACTGCAGTCTTTGTTGTGATAACCACCAGTCACAGTATCCAGCTGAGCTCTGCCCAGACCCCTGATTTAAAGGCCCAAACTATCTGTTGAAAGCCACAAAATTCAGTGTAATTTTCCCTACAGCAATAGGTAAATAATTCACTTTTAAGTCCTCAAAGGCCTTCAAGTTCCTACCCAGGCAGGATGCATGAAAGGACTTACGGCAGGCGTGTGAGATGCAAAGACACACCGGAACAGTCTTTGTGATGATCTAAAAATAAAGACAAAACACACACTTACATAGGAAAGTAGAAAAAATATCCCAAACAATTTATTTAAAGTGATTATGACTCAGTATGAAAGCATCTTGGTTTTATGATGCTTCACTGTCTTTAGAATACTTTCATGACCATGAGTTTACCTGGCCACAACCGCCACAACAAAGCATCCACTTGAGACAATCTACAGGATCCTCTCGAATCTGCAACCCGCCCGTTACCTGCTTTCCCGCACATATTAGATGCAAGCCAGGAAATCTGAATGACTCCCATTACCAAGAACAAACTCAGACATCTTACCAGTTTCTTTCCCTTCTTCCTTTGCCTTCCCTATGTATGGATGAGGTAAACATTTAAATTTCCCTTTCTCACCTCTGTTGAATATGTACATTTCTCACCAGAGATCATGACTAGTAACTCAGAATTACTCATTCCTTCTATTTCTGGGTGTGTTAAATACTCTCTCCCATACATTTTATTGTGGTAATTACAAAATTTTATAGCTCAATTCTGAGAGTCAATTTTGATGTAAATAAGCATTGCATAGGATCCTGTGGAAGATAACAGATTTAGGCTAGAAATGGAGTGAAGCGTGTTAAAGAACAGATGGAATTTTTCTTAAAAAGAGAGTTCTCTTCAGTTGTACATTTCATGAGTAAAGGAAAGAGAGTTTTCCATAGAAGTACATATACATAGGTAATTTGAAAAACAAATTATGTACTACGATTCATCATAGAGAAATCTTTTAAAAGTACAAATTATAGTTAATACTTTGTTAATAAGGGACAAAGTAACCTTTTTCTAAATTGTATGAAGTTTGAACTTGGCAAAAATACAGAAATAAATTCAGTGATAAATATTTTATACTTAATAGGTGGATTTTTTTTCCTATTTGTCATTTGGAAAGGGATCGCCACCCAATCTTCTAAAACAATTTCAATGAGGTACTATTTTCAGATTAATTTCAATGAGTACTTCTATTTTCATAATTTCAAATGGGTTTAAAAGTACTAAGAGAAAATAATAATAGTAAAATAATAACCACAGACTACATAAATTTTCCTTGGTTTATAAATACAAAAAAGAAAACTAAGTATTGTTTTTATTTAAAAGACACCAGTGAGAGGACCAGAGTGATAGTAAAATGTGTAGGATGCTTGCATGGCACATGGTTCAATTTTTCCATCTCTAGAATCAGGTCTGGTCCCCTGAGTCCTGCCAGGAGTGATTCCGAGAGCAGAGCCAGAGTAAGTCCTGAGCACTGCTGGGTGTGATCCAAAAGCAAAACAAAACAAAAAAGAAAGAAGGGGAAAAAAGGACACCTTTGGTTTTTTGGTTTATATTTAGGTTTATTAAATATGCTATAAGAGATGTTTATATAATATATGGCCATGTTACGATAGCACAGTGGTAGGGCGTTTGCCTTGCACGCAGCCAACATGGCTGACCCGAGTTTGATTCCTCCGCCCCTCTCGGAGAGCCCGGCAAGCTACCGAGAGTATCTCGCCCGCACGGCAGAGTCTGGCAAGCTCCCCGTGACGTATTCGATATGCCAAACACAGTAACAACAAAGTCTCCAATGGAGACGTTACTGGGCCCACTCGAGCAAATCGATGAACAACGGGAGGGCCTTTACTTACTTTACTTATATAATATATGTATATATATATATATATATATATATATATATATATATATTCTGTGACATTTTCAAAATAATTCACCAAAGACTTTGATCATATCATCTGCACTGATCAAAAATAAGTGGTGAAAAGTATACCACTCATTCATACCATAACACATAGATAGTAAGCTCAATTAACTTAGGTGATTTCAAAAACACTCATCATTTTATATAAAAGAATATCTTACCAAAATTACAAGATTATTTTGAGAAAAGTGAATCATTCAATTAATATTTACTGAGTGACTGGTCTATTCACTAAGGATATAGTCTAAAAATATATCTGTACTATATCCTTCTGTAAGACTTAAACTTTAATGAAGGTGAAGAAACAGGAAAATTGAGTAGAGGAGGTAGAGGGAAAAAATGTTATCAATATACATAGATCCTCCAAATTCCAAATTCCAGTAGGCAGGGGTCACACCCACCACCTGGCCCCCTGGCGCCGTGTAATCCCATCAACGGCCAAGACTCAGAGACTAGAAAATCCAGGTCCCGGAACCGCGTGGCCACATCTTATCAGAACATCTTTTTATGATATCTTATTATCTCATTCCTACTCTGGACAAACTTGCAGGCTATCGCATATAGCCTGCCCACAGGGCACAGTCTGGCAAACTCCCCGTGGTGCACCAAATATGCCAAATACCAGTAACAATGATGGGTCTTATTCTCCTAAAGAGCCTTGAATATAATCTCAGGGCTAGGATGAAAGAGACGTTACTGGGGCCTGCTCGAGGCAATCAACGAATAACAGGATGATGAATGAATGAATGAATGTCACTCTGTGAACTCAGCAGAATATCATAAGAGCAGACAGAAGTGCATTCTTCATTTCACTCTAAGTGCCAATGACCCTTATCTCTGTCCTTAAGAGTTAACAAGATCAGTAGAAAGTTCTTTCCTCATACAATGTACAACAAGCAAAAGGCTAAATGGACAATGGGAACACTTTTTCTTTCTATCTTACCACTGTTAGGGAAAGAGGGAGGGAGAAGTTGGGTGTAATGGACAGAAGAGATCACCACTGTCCATGTAGTGTGGTGACGCTGGGCCCTTGGTGGTTAGTGCAGTGGGTCTTACATACACAGACTGTATATACAACCATGTATATAAGAAGCTAAATATCCCAAGTTTTATAGTATGGTAATCCAATGGTAAATCAGTAAATTGGTTAACAATTAAATCAAGAAAATCACATTTTGGCTGAGAGTTGTTTACCAAGAACTAAGCAATTAAGCTGGAAAAACTAATGAAGAAACTAAAACATTTAAGAAATATTTAAGAAGTTTAACATTAAAGCTGAAATGTGCCACCAAATTAAGAGTAGTAGGAATGCAACTAACTGTAATGTATCGACTACCACCAGGGATAATGCAACAAAGCAGGGTCCTACTAATGTCTTCTAAACTGTCTAAATTAGATCTATTTTTACTCAAAAGTGGAAAAATAAGTAAAATAAGATTTTAATCTGAAGGCATTTTATTATCACCGTCATCAAAGTTTGCACCAAATAATAATTGTTACTGACCTCATTATTATCTCAACAGAAACACAGTTACTCGCCTGAAAAGACATATTACAAGATTTTTGTTCTATCTTTTGACACCATATATTTATCTATTAGATGTCCGATTCTATAAGTAAAGCAAGGACATCACTCAATAATATAAAAACGGAAACTGAAGTTGGTAAGTTTTGACTGAGATAATGAACATATTCTGCAGAAAAATATACAAGTTTCTGACATAGGTATTATTAGGGACAAAAAGAGCTCAGAAACTGAAGTTTTGATTTGCACAATGTACATCTTGTTAGCAGAGCATCAGACACTGGCAGGAGTGAACCCGTCGGGCACCAAATCCAGTATCCCTGTGGGTCGTCCATTGAAAGAAAGGCAAGAAAAAAATTAGAGTCACTGAGTAATGACTGAAGTAAAGTTTAAATAAATCAGCAAAAGTAGCTTTTCATATGTATTATTGTGTGTGTGTGTGTGTGTGATCATGAAGAAATTATGCTTAGACTATGGCAAGACTTTGTATTATCATCATAAAACTGAAGTTCTATTTTGACTTCAAGAAATTCTGCTATTTAGCAATGAATATGTACACATTAAAATTATTATAAAACTATTACAGGTTTACAATAATGTTGACTATGACTACGTTTGGGCCGGAGTGATAGCACAGTGGGTAGGGTGTTTGTCTTTGCATGCAGCTGACCTGGGTTTGATTCCTCCGTCCTTCTCGAAGAGCCCGGCAAGCTACTGAGAGTATTCTGCCCGCACGGCAGAGCCTAGCAAGCTCCCCGTATTCAATATGCCAACCACAAGTCTCACAATGGTGATGTTACTGGTGCCCGCTTGAGCAAATCGATGAACAGGAGGACAGTGCTACATGACTATGGTCATCATTTTTCTTTCCCTTTTTTGGGGGAGTTATTTTGAGTCATACCCAGAGATGATCAGAGTTAATTCCTGGCTCTGTGCTCAGAAATTATTTCTAGTGGTTCTTGGGGGACCATGTAATATGCTGGGGATTGAACATGCAAGGCAAGTGTCCTACCCACTGTGCTATCTTCCTGGCTCATTTATGATTATTCTTTTTTTTTTTTTTTGCTTTTTGGGTCACACCCAGCGATGCACAGGGGTTACTCTTGGCTCATGCACTCAGGAATTATTCCTGGAGGTTCTCGGGGAACCATATGGGATGGCTGGGAATCAAAACCGGGTAGGCCATGTTCAAGGCAAACACCCTACCTGCTGTGCTATTGCTCCAACCCTCTTTATGGTTATTCTTGATGTCCACTGTTACTTCACCTCACTTCAACCAAAGTGTCCAAGACTCCTCCTACCATCTATGTCGCCATGCCCCCACCAATTCACCAGCTTATTTGAACAATTTCAGTTTAATCATATTTTACAAGTTACCTGAATATAAAAAGGGAATGCCTACTTAGCTCTATTCCATGCTAAATTTTATTACTGCAAATGATTGTGATCTTCAATTCTACTTCCCATGGTTTGACCTAAATAAGCCAAGTGCTTGCATGTATACACAGTGAGAAGTCTCTTAAATTTCCTCAAAAAGAGGGGAGTCTAGGAGTTTCCTGGGTTCACAACTATTCCTACAGCAGTCTCAAAGAAACTCATATGTCAGCCCTGTGTTTGGTGTGAAGATCATAAGTCTCCAATTTCAACATGATCCCTGCCACAGTGATGAATTATTATTTCCATAACCTCTCTGCTGATTGTACTTCTGGTGAACTCAGAAACTTAAACTAGTTTTGCACATTTTGTGATAATTTACA